GTCGTAAAGTGGTCCTCGCAGTAAATTTGTATCATGCAGAGCGACGATGAGCAAGCTATTTTTGGGATTTGCCTTTCGTTTGTTAACTCGAATGCCATGCAGCATATATAGTAGCATGAAGAATGATAAAATGTCGATACATTCCTCTCCTCTCCGGTGTTCTCTCATCATTGCCGGCCAATTCGATATCTTTTTTCTTCTTCTTATTCACTTTAATAATCCGGTTGCCCAGTCAACCTACACCTTCATTTCTGCATCGGTGCCGGTTCACCGTTTTCTTTTCTTCTTTTCTTTGAACAACCCGTCTATAATATAAAAAAGCCGTCTACCGTCGCATACACTCCCTTCAAATCCGAGAGAAAATGTCGCCTGCATCCTCCATCACCGGGTCAAATGCTCCATCCGCTGCTTCAGATCATGATGAGTCTACATACCTTTCCAGAAGCCGAATTATCCACTGGGTGCGCATCGCCTTGTCGTCATTTTCATTCGTCCTCGCCGCTGTTGTCATAGGCTGTGAAAGCCATGCCATAAACTACTATAAAAACACAGTCAAGTATGACAAGTATTGGCTTTCCCTGTGGCCAAAGGAGTTGGATCTAGGTCCAAGCATCGCTGTCATCGTCTGTGGTACCGTCATCCTTGTCTTCAACTTAGCCTATACCGCAGTTGCTCTATTGCCTTCGGTAAGCAGTTCCCCCCCCCATGGCCGCCAGGACTTAGATATTGATACATCGATATAGCCACGATCCCGAGTGCTTCTCCTGAACACCTTTATTACTATCATTGCATTCAGTGGCTTTGTCGCTGTGGTAGCGGCGGTCTCGACTTCAGTCATAGCATATAACCCCCATTACTCTGACGGGGGTGCACAGCTAGGCCAGACTCTCAATTCTTGGGCGTGTACCTGGAGCTTTGCCGGTGGCGTAGACCCCGAAGGAGCCAAGATCTCGCCAGTGGTCGGCTTCAATCGTCTTTGCGGAGAGACTCGCGCATCCTTTGCCGTCATGTGTGTCTTGATTGTATTCCAGTTCCTGGCTTGTATCTCAGCGGGCTGCGGATGGTGGCTGGAGGTGGAAGTGAACAAGAAACGGAGATTTGCTGCTTCTGGAGAGCACCAAACTGAGAAGCACCACGATACCGTGTAGGATAACTTGTACTGCTTCAATATCTAGTCGTCTTGTCTCGGTTGTCGTCGATATCAAATGTTGATGGGTGTTTTTTTTTTACCTTCCACGTGACCTGTGACCCGGAAAATAATAATACGAGACATGCTTATTAATATAATGCTTATATAACCATTCTTATCTTTGCTATCGAGCAGAGAAGGAGAAAAGCTGAAGGACAAACAAGCAACGATGGGGCGCGCAACAAGGATAAACGCAGAGTATGGCGAGAAGGTTGCTGTAGGAGACGATTCGATACCCCATGACGGCCCGCAGCCGTACAATTCGGAGGAGGATTCCGACTTTGACGAGCATAGCGTAGCTCAAGGGGTGTCAGACGAGGGCGAAAGCGCGTCAGAAGATGAAGAAAACGACAAAGATGTGGATGGAGAGCGGCCGCGGAAAAAGAGAAAACTGTCTGTCGAACGGCAAGAGGCAGAGGCAGACAGTGACGAAGAATTTGCGGAGGCGGAGCTGGAGTCTGGAGATGAGGCTATGATCAAGCATGCAAAGGAGAAGGCGGAGAAGAGACGGAGGAAGAAGGCCGCAGATGACACAGCAAACACTGCTGTAGGCAGTAGCGGTGATGATCTCGACCTGGACGACGATGATGAGGGGGGTGAGGGGGGTTTCGTTCGAACTCGAGGCATGCGGATGAAAGTGTATGTGTAGGCCCCCGTTCACCTGCCGAGGCAAGCCCGCTAACTCCAGTCTACAGGCAAGAGGAGAAGAAATCACTGGCAAGGATAGATGGAGCTACGATTGACGTCGACTCGATATGGAAGCAGATGAACAAGCCGCAGACAGTACCGTTGACGGACAACGAAACAGGCACGGAGAGCGCAGTGACTGGTCCGCAAACCCCGCAGAATGCCTCCTCTTCTAAACTCCCGCAGGAGGAGATGTTAACTATACGACGAACGTATAAGTTCGCTGGGGAAACGATAACGGAGGAAAAAGTGGTTCCAAAGGATTCGGCGGAGGCGAAGCTCTATCTCTCTACGTCAGGTGCGGCGAGGAAAAAGGCAAAAGGTGGTGCTGGTACAAGCACAGATGGAGGTACAGACTCCCCCCCGGACGAGACGGTGGTACAGCCCCTACGGCGGCCTCTCCGGCGCTTCTCCCGCTTCGATCCAAACCCACCGGACGCCATCAAGAAGAGCTGGGAGAAACAGGCGGCCGTACAGGCTCCGGAAGACGCAGGGGCCACGGCCAAAGGTCCCAAGCTGAACACCGTCATGAAGTCGAAACTCGACTGGGCAGCATATGTCGACCGAGAGGGCATAAAGGACGACCTGGACGTGCACAGCAAGGCCAAGGAGGGCTATATGGATCGTATGGACTTCTTGGGGCGCGTGGATGCAAAGAGAGAGGAAGAGAGAAGGAATGCCAGACTGAAGAATGCTGGGTACTAACGAGGCCGGCCTGTCTGTATGATAATATATGTATGATGATAGTTATTATGTATGATATATATGAGACCTTTTGTATCTCCATGACGACCAAAGCAGCCAAACCACGAGAAAAGCCCAGCTAGATACCGTCCCGTCTCTCTTCCCACGACGTCCTTCAGTTCAGCACCTTCTCTCTCGTTGCTCGGAATCGTACCAGGTCTCGCTTCGGGGGCGTCATCCACGGTATCTCATAGCTGCCCGGCTGTCTCTCGACCTCGACGAAGCCAGACTTGACCAGGACCTTGACCGAACCGACATTCTCCGGATCGCTGAACGCCTCGATCGTATCGAACTGCGGCTTGTTGGCCCAGAAGAGCTGCAGGAAGGCCGTCACGGCCTCGGTCGCAAAGCCGCGACCCCAGGCGGACTGGTGAAAGGTGTAGCCCAGCTCTGGCACCGGATCAGAGCGAAAGGTGCCCATCGACCCGATCATGCCACAGGACTGCAAGGGGGAATCGGCCGGCGCATCTCGCTGGATCTCGTCGAGCTCGGAGGCAGGCAGGTCGGAGCGAACGAAGACGGCGTAGTTTTCGCCCAGCGGGTTGTTCTCGAGCAGCAGGCCCGACATCCACTCCCGGCTCTCCTCTATCGTCTTGCAGGCTCCTCTGCTGCTCCAGCGTGTGGTATAGGGGTTCGACCAGATCGCATGGAACCCTTCGAGATGCTCGCCGGTCATCCGGGACCAGCTCGAGTCTGGGCGGTCTTCATTGAGGAAGAGGACGATATAAGATATCAGAAGTCGCGAGGACGATGGCTCTCGAGATGCTTTGTTATTATATATATCAGACAGATCACCCCAGGCTATGGGCAGTCTCCAAGAGATCGATACAGCTATCTTAATCTATCCATCCCTACGCGCCATCAAATGAGTCACCTCTCGCCGTCAGTGACTCGGTGTCTGGCCCCAGCGAGGTTCGCAGAATACGACACAAAACGGCCTTATGGATGTCGGAGTCCGGATGGGGGCTATATATTATCGAACCTCCTTAGCTGTCCGGCCCTGCTTACCGAGCAGCTTCGACTAGTTCAAGGGGAGGGGACTGTTTTATCTGGCTGTCCTCGTATGGCTAGATGTTGGCTCTTGCAACTCCCGAGGTCGACTACCAGCCCGAATGACTTACTAGTATGGATATGTTGGTGCATTTTCAACCAGGGCCTGCGGAGGTTGCCTACCAATCGCTCCGGGCTCACGAATCTTTGTTACATACAAAATATGGATCCATCCAAAGCCTGGAGACACTGACAAAGGACCGCAGGACAGAGTATAGACCCTGAATAACACTACATGGTTCAGAGTACAATAACGTGGAGCAACTATATTCCGATGGTTCCGAATCCCCCAGGCCGTGAGAAATGTTGGACTCTAGGTACCTTACCTTGGGGTGAGACTGCTTACACCCTCAAGCTGTCGAGGTTTTAGCAGATTCCGGACATGAGGTTATCAAGCAGACTTACGCCCTTTGCATCTAGCACATCAAGATGCTTGTCTACTAGAAGCTTACCTCGTTCAGTTCCAGGACGCTATTCAACTTACAAGTTTCCTTTTCTTACTCGATCGATGAGCTCCCCAAGCGCGCAGCAGTCCTATGCGGACTTCTTTCAGTACACGAGCGGTCGCTGGCTTTGGGATGAAGAACAGCAACTTCGCGACCGATTCTCTCCTTTTAACGTGCCCGAACTCCAGAAAGTGGCTGCGAGCAGCGTTGGTGCAAGCAAATGCGTTGAAATCACGAAACTGGCAGAAGGCTCGTTCAACAAGACCTTCAAACTTAAGATGGATAACGGGATGTATGCCATCGCCAGGATTCCTCATCCCATTGCAGGGCCCCGGTACTTCATGACAGCTTCTGAAGTCGCAACGATGGAATTCGTAAGAGAAATCCCTTGTTCCCTAGATTTCTAGATTGATCAATTCTAAACGTGAATTTCAGGCACGCAGCGTTCTAAAAATCCCGGTCCCCCGGGTGTTTTCTTGGAGTGCTGATGCGAATAACCCTGTTCAGTCCGAGTATATAATAATGGAGGAGGCGCCTGGAGAAAAATTGGATGATGTTTGGGAGGATTTTTCTCTGGAACAGAAGATAGCGGTTATGAAGGAACTTATTTCCTTGGAGAAAAAAATGGCTTCCGTAGCTTTCAACAGGTCTGGCAATGATGCAAACCTTAGCTTACATTCTCATCACTAACGAAGATCTAGTTACGGCAACCTGTACTATGCTAGTGATAGTATTCCAGGTGCTTTAGCAGCTGAAGTTGTTGGTGATTTGCCAGCGGATGTTAAAAACACAGTTATGCATCGGTTTGCCATCGGCCCGGTTGCGGAGAGGGCATATTGGAACAGACAACGCGCAGTAATGGATATAGACCGCGGCCCATGTATGTACCTTTCTTTCTTGCTTTCGATTCACTTTTCTAAGCTCTCAAAGGGAAACATCCGCAAGAATTCCCCATCTCTCTAGCCCAGCGAGAGCTGGAATGGATCTCACAGTATGCGATACCTAAGTCGCAAGATGATCCCTTAGTAACCTCTGCGACACAAAATTCTCCCAACAGCCATATTTCCTTGCTTCGTCGGTACCTGAAAGTTGCACCATACCTTCTTCCGAGTGATCCCACTGTCATCGCGCCTCAAATATGGCATACAGACCTTCATTCAGCCAATATCTTTGTTCAAGATGGTCGTATCTCTAGTGTTATCGACTGGCAAGGAACCTGGGCCGCGCCTTTAATGCTCCAGGCTCGTCATCCTCGGTTGGTTGAATATAATGGGGATATTATATTAAAGGCTCCCGCAAATTTCAAAGACCTTGAACCTGAAGATAAAAGAAAAGTAAGGGAACAGATGAGCAAGTCAATTATTCTTTACCTCTACGAAAAGCAGATTGCCAAAGAGATACCCCTTTTGGACAAAGTCATACGTTTTAATAATGGTCGAACAAGATGCGAACCCATCCACTTTGTTGGCGATACTTGGGACGATGATATTTTGCCCTTGAGGGAATCCTTGATCCGAATAGAGAAGTAAGTTAGTTTAACATTACCATAAAATCCGGCCGAGCTTTACCCTGGACTAATCGATAGCCTGCAGATATTGGAATGAACTGGGTTTTGGCTTTCCCTGTCCTATTCATTTTACGGAGGACGAACTTCGTGTCCATGCAGAGGAAAGTGAGGGGTGGAATGATGTCCAAGATTTTTGGAATTCTGTTTCATTTATTATTTCTCGGGATGGATGGACCCCTAAACATCTTTATAACGACGCTGTCGCGCTTTTCTCAGAGTTGCGAGAAGTTGGCCTCAAATCTATGGCAGGCAAGGAGAGAGAGGATTTCAAAAGGCAGACGCAATGGGTTGAAAGGCAGAGTTTAAACAATACCCAGCAGAGCTACCCCTAAGTACTGAGCCTCTAACAATGAGCCTGAAGGTATCGGAATGATGTCACGACAGGCGAATCTCCACTGGATGATTGCGGAAACAATACTTGACCACATTCAGTAGAATGCGAGATCAAACGAGGGTAGACTTAACCTTCACAAGTCCTCTATTCAGCTTGATGTATCTACATTTGGCAGCTAATGAATGAACAGGTTCCCCCTGCCTTGCCCTTGGGAAGTTTTAGTTGGGCTACACACCGGCATAGCCACAGTCTCTGCATCCAGGGAGGGGGCTTTGTGACTCTCGCTTACGTCTTTAATTCTCAACGAAAGAAAGGTCTTCACTTCTGAAAGCCAAATCAATCTGGAATGGCCCGATCCTATACTTCTCGTGCACCCCGGATCTGGAAATAGTACGGAATATTACTTGAATTTTCCAGATTGTTTTACAGCAATATCCCAAGATCTGTCTGAATCCGAGGCATCACCATTTCTTAAAGGTGACATTACAAAACAAAATAATCTCAGGCTCTCCAGTTCGAGGATACTACTGTGTTCCCCTGAAGGACTCAAGCAAGTCTCCTTCCCCCTTGTCTTCGTCAGGATTTTCCGGATCAACAACAATCTTAGCCCAAATCTTGTGGCTATCCTCACCTGCCGCAGCTTTTACCCCGGGGTCAGAAGCATTTTTGTTTGCTTGGAGGATCAATTCGTG